ACACTTTGCTCTCTGAGGAGACACCTTCTCATCTGATCCTGGATAAACTAATTATTTCCTGTTGGAAAAGAGACATTATTTTTTTTCCCCCTAGTCTAGGTAGGCAGTGACTGAAAGAGGTAGTTCTTAAAGCCCATCCTCTGGCACCTTGCTGAAGAAGAGAGCCCGTCGGTCACAGCCAGAAGTCAGGACAAACAAAGGGCTGTTTGTACAGCATCTCCCATCAGTCCCTCCCTCTTCTCATTCCTGCTAGTTCTTGTTCTCTCTGGGTACATCTAGGAAGATACAGCTGCCAAGAAAGTGAAAGAGAGTCAAGTAGAAGAGAAAGGTATGTCTAGCTCCTTGTGCATTTGTCCTGCTGGTGCTAGTTACAGAGTACGGAATTAGGAATATATATAGGGACATGCACGAGAAGATTTGGGAGATGCAGATACATTGTAGGCAAGACATGACGTTCAAGACAAATGCATGGATATGAGCCAGCTAAAGATAATTCTTTCACTGTCTTGCTCTTCTACACAGTTGAATGCTACATGCTAATACCTGAATGAATGAATGCATGTCATTAAACATAATACATTGCCTTCCAGTGCTCAATATTATTGCAAAATTGGTGAACATGGAGAGAGGTGTGTTCACAATTAATTGCTGTCTTTAAGAAAACTAAATGGGCTTTAATGAGGATTCAGTTTCTGGAAAGAATCATGGTATTGATGGTAATTACAAAGCAGTAATTCACTGAATTCATCCTCAGTGGAATAGCTGCTGTCCTTACAATGCACCAACTGTTCAAGCAAAATTGATTAGAAGGATTTTTTTTTAACAGAAAAAAACTACTTCATAATCATATCAGCTATGCATCTCTTTTGTAATGATTTCTTAGGAATGCACTAATAAACCTATTACACACTAACACACATAAATATTAAATGCTTAGCTCAGCATTTTACAAGTGTTTCAGGAATAGAAACTTGACAAACAAATAAACAATAAAAGACATTTTATTTTGAATAGGTATTATTAGCTCTTGCACTCAATGTCTGTTAAGAAGCAAATATATATTAAATTTGCTTCACTTTAATGCAGCTTGTTAACCCAGCACCTGCCCCTGTACAGACTGGAGAAGATCACACACCGACAGTGTATACAATTCGTGTACTCCTTGTTTTCAACATTAGGCAACTGGAGATGCAACTTGTTTAGTAACTCTGAAGGATATATTTAATAGTTGATAGACCAAATTGTAAATATTTCTCTTTTCCCAAACATGCAGGAGCTGGACTACAGATTTTGTGCCATTTCTCAGTTTCCCTATTTGTAACACCTGAACTCATATTAATACCACGTGGCCTTCAAGGGGCATCACGTCTCATGAAACATTACCCTGTTGCTCTTGGCCAAGGAAGCTGAAATTTGGGCTTTTTGTTTTGTTTTTTCCTGACTACCTCTGCATCTAGCAGATACAAAGAACTATATGGGGCCAAATTGCCTGGCAGGATAACTGACATGCTCTCAGCTGAACAAGCAGGGATAGCAGATTCCTAAATTACCGTGCAGATTCCCAAACTAATCGTCTTCCTTTGCACAAAACTTCAAATTATTTCCAAGTACTTGTATTCCCAGCTGCACTTGGTCTCAAACTTTGGTTGTTTCGTCATTGTGTAACTAAAGTAAAATTGATTGAAAAGAACTTACATAAATGCAGAGAACCTGCCTTCAGTATTTTTAGATGGCTTTACTCCTGCTAGGATTTGCAACTATATAATCCTGATAGAGGAACTTGGTCAGGCTTGACTCGACTGACACTGCTACACTTTCAGAAGATTTTATAAAATAATGTAAGGAGTCGCTTGCTGGCAATTAGTCTTTGAGTCATCTTAGTGATTGAATTGACTCATCATATTTCCCTGATTTCTTTCTGCTGTTTCTATGGGATACAAAAGCAGATAAGGTCTTTGACATGTATTTTGAAATAAATATGCACTACTAGCTCTGCTCTTCACCTAGACAATCAGTGACATTCCATCATCCGTGCAACCATATTCAGGAAAAGAAGTCGCAGCAATTTGTCAGAAAAAGATGCTGCATCTGGAAGGCCTGCTGGGTTTATAAGCATTGATCCTGTGCAGGGAGCTAATGAAACACTTCAGGTCCTTGCCAATCTTTCATCTATAAATAGGCACCACTCTCTCACAGGGAAGGAATAACCTTTTTGAAGACCGGTCTTTTGACTAAAAGCTTATTTTCAGTTGCTATCTGGGAAAAAGAAAAAATTTAAAAAAAAAAAAAAAAAAAAAAAAAAAGAGAGAGAGAGGAAATATTTAAGCAGAAATTAAATTGTAATAAAATAAATACAGTTTTTGTCCTGAATAGCAACAATGCTGGCCAGGTAAGATGCATAACTGACATGGTAGTGAAGCTGTCTATCCATAGCTCACCAGCATATTGACTTTGCTAATAACTGATTTCTGCAGTTACCCATATCAACTCTCTTGATGATGCACTATAGCAATGCCCTGCTCTATTCCCAAGCAAGTAATGAGGTATCTCAAACTGTAGGTTGGGATTTTTGAATCCAGAAATTTAACAACCTATAGAAAATCTGCCTGTTTTCAGGACAGAATGGGTTCCTATAAATTTTGAGCAGACAGGCAACTGGCAACAGATTAAAATGAGCACTTCGGCTGAACCCTAGGCAGGGAAAGATCATCCAAATTACTAGGCATTTTAAAAAAATAATAAATGTACACAAGATTAAGATATGATGAATGCCTCACTCTCAAGGGAAAAACTCACAGAATAATCCAATCACAGCAAACAAAGGCATAAACCCCCTTCTTCCTAAATTTCTCTTCATATAAATTTTCTTCTATTAAATACTTAAATAATTAAACTCAAATATCTGAACAGATCCTTGACACTGGCATTTATCAAGTTATAGTATAAACAAACTTGTTCTCTTTGAGCTTTAGACTTCCCTGAGCAGAACCCTCATAACTGCAGTGTTTATACTCCCTACAAAATAAAACCATTATTATAATAATACGGATTCTTTACTCAAGTCTAAAAACCAACAGCAGGCAAAGTTAGAACAATGTTTACTTTATTTGAGAAGTAGTTTTGAGGTCTAAAACTAATAAAGACAGTGTGTTATTAAATACTGCACTCAAAGGTAATTAAAAAATAGATCCCAAGGCTCCGTTACTAGTAGTTTATAGGAGTCTCCTACTCAAAAGTTCACATACAAGTTCATTGAAACTAAAATAAATAATTCAATGGATTTTGCTTCTACAACAGAAGTTAAAAATTGTAAAAGGGTTTATTTTCACTTCGGTCATGTTCTTTAATATATTGGCCACTTTCTCCTATCTTACTTGGCTTCTAGTGTTCAAAAAAAAGTTTGCACAAAATCTTACAGAAAAATATAACCAAAGAGCATCAAGGTGTGGCATTTTATCCCTAATATTAATCCAGATTCCTAGAATTTCTCACAGTCTCTGGTGTCATTCATTGTCTGGAGAAACGAAAGATCAGCAAGGTAGCTATGGTGGTGATGTAACTACCCAGGAAAAATTACTGCAAAATACAGTAAATGTATTAATTTAATAGCTTATTTTTTGTTTTTCAAGGGTGACCTTAAGAGTTTTACAAAATAACACATGGAAATCTATTAACTGACTTCTATAGCTGGCATGACTTTTTTTTTTTTTCTTATCTAGATAATTGCTCTGCCATCTTAATTTGGCCTTTGCCTTATGCCTAGTTGTTTTCAGGTTAGTCTCGAGCCCTCTATTCTACAGCCCTGCAATAAAGACTAGAACCAGCCCACAACGACGTGCCATTGGGGTTGCAGGATTGACTCTGAAGCACCAACAGGACAAATGGCAACAAAGTCTTTCTTGAGGCTAACATAAGTACAGTGAGGAGCACTTGGGGGGCGTTTACTGGGCAGAGCTGGCCACTGCTTTAGGCCAGTTTTCAGAGCAAAATTCCTATTTAAATTCAGTAAGGTGCCAGACTCCTTTCATTCATGCATGAGAAAAGGTAAAAAATCCACTCTCTCCCCTAACTCCAATAAAGTCTAGGTTGAAGTATTATTCAAAATGATAATTTAAAAGTCAATGCAAGTTCAAGGGTTTTATCCAAAGCTTTGTGGCATGGTGAGTCTCTGTGCAAAGCAGCACAGAATAGCAGAGCTAGAGTTGAATGTGCTGATGCAGACAGTGGAAAGCCTACTCACCAAGAGCAGAGTTTTGCAAGGGATAATTTATCCCATCTTTTAAAAAGCAGCATCGATTAAACCATAATGACCTCCTGTAGCAAGACTCAGCTAAGCAGTCTGCAGTACTAAAAAATTAAAACCGAGAAAATTCTCAGCAGTGCTGCATCGTACCAGAGCCTGCAGTCCAGGACAGTGGCACTCAGCAGCACTGCAGAGAGCTTCAGCCCCCTTTGCTGTTTAATGCTTCAGTTGCTTGAATGGTCCATGACAGAGGATGCAATCGGTAGATAGTTTTTGCACAATTTTGGTGTGGAAAGATAATTTTGTGTAAGTGACTCTTGTTTTGACAGGCAAAATGGCCAGGAAGGCAAGGAAACACACCCTTGGTTTGGTAGCAATCAATATATATTCACTTACACCACCAAGAGAACACGGCCAGCTCAAAGCAATTTTCTCAAGGTGAGAGGCCAAAGAAACAACAAAATTGCCAGCAACAGAAGCCTCAATTCTCAATGAAAGGATTCCCAAGGCTGTAGAGAAAGTAATGAATATCAATTCTGTTGCAATATTATTTACCTCCTAGGAGAAAATGCTCCCCAGCACTCAGGCTCAAACCTCCAAAAGTTCACAGGAAAGGAAGGGAAAATGAAAGCCAGAAAGCAAATTGGGGAAAGAGATGTGCTCAACAGCTATGCTCAACAGTGAGCATACAACACACTCAACAGTGTCACGTACCTCTTTTCTCTTCAGCACCCTGCTGCAGAAAGTTTTGCAAAAGATGAAGATGGTCTCAGCGCTGCTCCTGCTGAGCACCCTGCTGGGTACCCCTGCCGTGCCTTCCCAGCGTCCCTCGTGCTACAAGAGGGCCCTCAAAGACCACAACTGTCACAGCATCCCCGAGAGCCTGGTGAATCTTCGACAAATTGATGATGGTCTGCAAAATCACTTTTGGGAAGGGAAGGGTTGTGAGGTGATCTGTTACTGCAACTTCAATGAATTGCTCTGCTGCCCAAAGTAAGATTATGCTCATTTCATGCATGCTTGTACAGTTCTATATGGCCACCCACTATATTTCTGGCATTTTAGAGTTTCCAGTGGAGGAATAAGCTATCGTTTGAAAGAAATGCATCATTTGAGATAGTTTGAAATTATAGCAAGACATAGGCAATTAGTTGATATGCTGCCAGTTTTTAGTTTTTGTTTTTCAGGAGCTCTCCTAGGATTTGCTTAGCATGTTTTATAAATCTGCATGTCTTATATATATGACTTCAGCATTTAAACCACCCGACTTTTAATGTTTTTTTTTGATTGAAACTCAGTATGAGACCTACACCAAATCCTTATTCACAGCACTTTGCTGCAAAGATGTTTTCAGGATCATAAACAAAACCATCTGATTTCTGTTCCACCTAAAGAGCTGTTTTGCTGTTCTAAGGTGTATACACATACATCTGTTGACTAAGCAATTCTGCAAAGACAGCTGTTCAAAGTAGGAAAGCAAACAGGGCAACAGAGGTTCACAGATGCCTACAAAGGGAGAGAAAAGATTTAGCCCTTGAATGTCTCCAGTACTGCTGACAAGGCAAACTGAAGAGGTTCCCACTAAATGTGCAGTTTTTTGTTGTTTTACAGCAGGAA